AGTAAGGGAACCCTGCCGTCGTTCATTAATCTCCAGAAACAGAACTGTTTCAATCAGGAAATCAATGTGGGTGAGGTCTTCAATCACCGCTGTTGCACCACCGCTGAAACCACCAGATCCGGGGAGGGACTTGAGTGACATCACAACAGCAGGCATCTTAGCGACTCGCAGGGCAAAAAAAAACGAGACAGGAAGTTGCCCAGTGGGGTTATGGGAAGTGTAGTTCACCTAGGTAGCTCAACGTTTCTGCGTCACATATACAAACGCCACACAGCTTTCTGCATTGGACTCTATATTAACCTGCGCACCCAGTCAGATTGGGCATAAGTGTGGCAGGATTACACAGGTTTTTTTGACTCCATGTTGAAAACTGAACAGCAGGCAACATAACATGAGATATCCAGCCCCTGACACAGGCTCAGGCTCAATAGACAGCAGTTGGCAAAACCCAGGAACGTTCATAGAGCAACACAGATGAGTGCCAGATTGGCATCCTTACAGACTGCTTACAGGGAAAGGATGTGGGGGGATGATGAGGCACTGAACTGCATTAAGACGGACCCCGACAAACCAGTTTCCCTCGAGTCAGAGTAACGACAGGAAGCCCAGAGCCTCTTTCCCTCACTATATGCTTTAAAAAAAAAAAAAAAACAGCGTTTATCTTGGCTTTCCCCATGAGAACATATTTTTGGTTCATGTCAGCTAAACCCAAAAAAAAAAAACATCTGGACGCCTGGAATAATGACCCCTCTATGAAAACAATAAAAAAAAAACAGAGAGGCTTGTTTCTCTCCCTCCTGGAATGCCGGGATTTTGCATTTCATTTTCCTCCTGGGAACCCGGGGGGCATTGTGTTCCCTCCAGGAGCGGCTCCTCACACGAGCTCACACAGAGCCGGGCTTTCCCAGACGGCGCCCGTGCGTGGGAACTCGGGAACTTCGCGCTCCGCTGTGGCCCAAAAAGGCCCCGATCCGGCTCCGCGGAACGCCGGGGTCTCGGGAACGCGCACGCCAGGCGAGCCCCGCAGTCGGACTGGAGGGCCGCCTCCTGCGTCAGTCGGACACCCCCACCCTTCTACACTTCCGTAACTGCCCCCTCTATTGCGGCCTTGGAGCCCAGAATGCATTGAAGCACCGTCCTGACCACTTTCTAAAAAAGAGCCACGTCAGACTGCCGATCCTGGCCGACCTTCTTTGGAATCAACTCATCCAGAATCTCACGGGTTCCAAAACAGGGGACCCCACACAGCTGCTGCTGCTCAGCGTGGCTGGGGAGGCGCAGAATATACTATCAGGATTCACAGGAGCTGTGGAAAACACCTCACCGCTGGCAACGGAAGGACTTTGTTAGCTGAAGCCACAAAGAGCTCCGGAGGCGCACGGGAGGAGTTTAAAGCCTGGTTATCGAAGGTCGTCGCGTCCGTCTGCGATGACTTCTCCTCGGACAGCTTCGGCGAGATCAAATCAAGTCGTCCTGCCTAAACAAGCAGGCCGGTTTCTAAGAGCAACGTGCATATCAAACCACCAGAAACAACCATGCTACTGCTGCAAAGTGCAAAATAAGATCCTCATAATGCCCATTGACGGAAGATTCAGTAAAGCCCTCAACGTTTCGGGGGGCTTTGCAGTTAATTAACTGGTGGCTCAGTGCTCCAGGCACTGTAGTGTGAGAGGCAGGCTCCCGCAGGGAAGACTGACCCTGTTCTGGGACTCCTCTCTCTCTCTCTGTGTGTGCGTGCGTGTTTGTGTAACTGCCCCTCCTGATCAGACCCCGACAGAGATGACCTGACCAGGAAAATGAATTGCTGCCACATTCCAGACATTATTGAGCTGGTAGTCTAAACAGACTCCCCCCACCACTGCACTGTAAAGACTCCCTCCCCAGTAGATGCTGTCAGCTACCCCCCCCGCCCAGCCCCGTCAGCTCCACGAAGAATGCAGGGAGTTTCATCCCGTTCTGTGCACACTCTTGTCCAGGGCTGCCAAGGAGCTCTGCATGCTCAGTCTAGCCTGTGTGGAGCTCTGAACTCCACCCAGAAGACCCCTGTAGCCACAGAGCGCTGGGACACAGCCAGTCTCTGCTTAAAGCAAAGAAAACCAAGAGCCCAGCTCTGCTGCAGCACACATTCTCCTACCCAGCTTCTTTTCTTTCACTTCCCCGGTGCTAACGGAGGTCACTGACTGCAGCGGAGTTATGCCGGTCAGGGGGCCCCGGAAATCCCGCTCCCCAAGGACAGGTGACTACTTCATGTAGCCACTATCCCAAGCTGTGCGTCTTAGGACTCCCGCTGGCGGGAAACTAGCGCACCTGCAGTGAACATGCAAACCCCGCGCAGACAGACGCCTGGGCCCAGAACCGAGCCGGAAGCTGGGAAGCACAAGAGCGGTCTGCCGTCCCAGCCCAGTCGTGTCAGAAATCCGCTTCGCACTCCTCTTCAGCACTATCAGTCACACAAGCGTGCATGAAACCACCCAGGACTGCGTGCGCTGCCAGCTAGCAGGCTTAATTGAATTTGTCATGATGGGGAACGGGATGCCTGGCTAATTCCTTCTTGGGTGATATTTCACTTCCCCCCTCCAACTTCATTCTGTTATTAAAACCAACCACTTTCACCACGGGCACCAAGCAGGGTTCCATACAGGCAAACACAGACGCCCGGTCCTCCAAACTGCTCCACCCTCATCACCCCAGGCCTAGCCAATAGGAAAGGAGACGACAGCTGCAGGGGGAGACAGGGAGGGGCCTCGGATCGGGACACGCCCACATCAAGCATCTCCTGCAGACGCTGCAGCTCCTGTCTCGGCAGCATCACGCGCAGCCCCCGCCGCCATGGCAACAGGACAAACAGCCCGACGGGGAACGTCAACAAAGGACCCGAATCAGTCAGGGTCTGTCCGAGGAAGCACGCCCATGCATCGTCAAAGGAGAAAACCGCCTCGGGGCGGAAGCTGGCGCTGCTGTGGGCATTTGCACACATGGTTTCCGACTTGTGCAGCTACCCAAACACTACCAAAAGTTTACACTGAAGAAGACTGAGGAGGAAAAAAAAACAATTAAAGGAAAAGATTTAAGAAACTTTCTCCAGTTCTGGTGACCTCGATCTCCTGACTGGAAACAAAACGCACTTACCAAAGCCATCACCAGGTGGCACTGTGTGCTGTATGGAAAAATAGCCCTGAAAAATCACCTGAGCCTCCATAACATACATATATCAATGGCTCCGCAGGAGCCCTCATCCAAGCAAGAACTAATAAGCATGAAGTAAGAGCAAGACATTTAGGGGGTTCAGACTGCCCAGCTATGGTTTAAAACATCAGCTTCTTGAGGCACTTTGAAACACGATACCAAGTTACATGCACAGGCCTTTGAAATGGAAACTGCCACATAGCTGAGGGAAAAATATCGGACTGTAAATGTCACCTTTACTGTGTCGCAATAAACCTCCGTACAGAGCAGCGCTCAGTATTTACATACCGTGTCACTATAGCAACCCAGCCAAACTCACTAACCGCAAACCTAGCATTTAATCTTGAGACAATATCGTGCCTGAAGCTCTGTCTCCCCATGCAATAACACAAACATCTCCAAACGGCAGTTTGATTAATGCACTTGGCAATTTTCAAGTTAAAAAAAAAAGCAGACGACCTTCCCCATTCCCAGCAAATCTACTCCCACTGAAGACGCGCTCAACCCCCTGTGTAATTACACTTCCTGTGGTGCGACCTCTATATTCTTCCCCGTAAGAATCTAAACACACAAAAAAACAAATGGTGGGGGCAGGGGGGGCACACCTCTCGGCCAGCTGGCCCGAGATTGGCCGCCGCGTGACGCGGCCCGGCTCTGGTGACCTCTGACCCCGCTTGGGCCCCGCCCGCGGGGATACAGATGTAGATGTGCGCCGGCCGCCCATGTTCAGAGATGAAAGGACGGGGGAGCTTGTCTAGCTCTGAAAATCATTAACCGCGGGCAGGGCCCCCGCAGTGGGAGGGGTCCCGGGCCTCCTGTGCCTGTTTCTCTTCAGCTCAAGGGAGCCAGAGGGCCGCGGGAGGAGGGCAGGGACACTCGCTTCCCAGATTTCCCACTCCGCTGGCAACTCTGCTCTAGGCAGGAGAAGAGGGAATTCCACCCCCCGGAGGGGACAAACTTATTAATATGTGGAAAAGCCGGTCGCTGCGATGGAGTTCCGGACGGAGTGTCTTGTGCCCGGCACCGACTCCCGCTGCTGCGCCAGGCTGTCACACGAGCGCCGGACAAAGCCGACGGGAATTTAGCACGCCCGCGGGTGCGCCTTTTTCAGTCCCATGCGATCGAACTCGACCCACCCCACCCCAGGACTGAGGGCCCTGCCGGCCCACTCGCGTCAGACCACCCCGGACCCCTTTACTGTACACATTCGCAACACAACGGACAAATCAAACTGCTGGTTATTTGAAGGCAATGCAGCCGACCTCACGGGGTTACAGTGAGCCGCCATGCTCTGTAATACCTTCCCCACAGCTTCCCAGCTGAACATTTAAAAGGCTCCTGAACATTTTTTCTCCCAGGTTAAGGTGCTGTGGAGCTACACGAACACATCACCACTGTGAGCCTTCTGCTTGCTCACAGAAGTCAGAAGTGTGCACTGCTCCGGTGTGTGTGTCATGCACTGGCAGTGTGTGTGTGTCCTGCACTGGCACCTTGATTCATTAAAGGAATCACACTTAATAACAAGCAATAAGGGAGGTTTCTTAATCCATATCCTTGAAAGTGGTACCTCTGTGTAGTTCATTGTAAGCATACTGAACAATGCAGATGTTTCAGATGTTCTAGTGCTCTTCCCTGTGGTTCAAGGTGGTTACAACAAGCTCCGTTATGACGTAATTGTGAAATGGCACCAGTGATACGATAACTCTGCAGCTGCCTTGCCTGGGCCAACTTGGTGTCAGTCTGGATTGGTTGAGCAGTTCTATTCAATGGATGCACCTGTAATAGGCATTGAGAGTGCTCGTGCATGGGCGTGCGAGCAGGTGTGTACTGCACGCGTGTACGCGTGTGCACCTGCACTTGTGCCTCACCGTTGTTGGTGTGCCTGACGCAGTCCTGGAAGACCGCGAGCCACTTCTGGTGCTCCTTCTCCGACGTCACGCAGAAGTAGTGGTGGCGCGCGTACGGGTGCCAGAGGATGATGGGAAACTGGGTGGCGCACTTCGAAAACATGGAGCTGCCCGCCTTCGCCTTCAGACCTGACGAGAGAGGGAAAGGGCGACGCACACCCTCGTCAGCCACGGGCCGCGCTGCACACTGCCCCTACACAAGCGCCACAATGGAGCTCCTATTCCACACCGATCCAGAGCAGGTCTTGCGTGCAGCCGGCTCCTTAATTATCATCGCCCAATTGACAACACCATTAACATGCCGGCAGTGCCAAATCCTGGCAGCTGGGATGCTCCCGGTGGCGCAGTGGGAGACAGTCCTGGGAACTAAGGAACGAAAAGGACCGGACAAACAAGACGTGCAGGAAGAGGGATGAAAGAGTGGGAAGGAAGGTGTAGGAGGAAGAAAAACAACCCTGCCAACCCTCCCCGTCGCCTGCCCGCCTCCCCCTCTCCTGGCTCACCTGGCAGGCTGCTGTTCATCAGCTCGCCGTACTCCTCCACTGAGGTCAGCACTTTGTAGCCAGCGCAGTTGATGGTCCCCTTGGGGTGCAGTCCTCTGTCATAGGCCTGGGGCAGGGGGGCGAGAGAGAGGGGGGGGCACAGTGAGCACGCGGAAGGCCAGTTGTGTCGCACATTCAGAGGGAAGTGCGAGCGCTGTAGCACAGACACGGCTACAGGTTCGAGTCCACTGCCGGGGTTATTAACCGATTTCCTGTGTCACCAGGGCTGAGGGTTGTGGTGAGACTTGGGTCATCTAGAGTGCTCCACAGCGCCCCCGTGTGGCTCGGTAACTGACTCCTCTGGGGACTGTGGGACTTGATCTGAAGAACGAGCATCTGAGTACTGTGTACAGTATATGCCCTGGGTTATAACACTGAGCCTGGCCAATTAGAATGGGCGATTCTGAGCTGGGACTTTTAAACCTAAAAATCCCGACTTGGAACTTGAAAGATCAAGCGCATGGAATCTCTTCCTGGCTTGAACACCCACACCCTGCACCCCACCTGTCCTTCGGCCGTCTGCTTTCTTTTAAACCCCCGGTGCAACACTGCGGTCAAACAAACATCGCTCACCAGCTTGGTCTCGTAGAACATGACGCTGTAGGAGTCCGGGACATAGAGGAACCGATTCCTCCACTTCTTGTTCTCCTCCAGGAACTGGAAAAGATTCCCGGAGAAGATGGACTTGTCCTCCAGGGGCACCTGTGACACGAGAGGTAAGGAGAGAGAGGATCTTCACCAACTTGGGGTCGGATCTTAAACACAAACCTTTGCCTTTGTCTACATGACTTTGCAGTATGAATGAAAGGTGAATAATGAAATATGCTCTTTCCAGTTACAACAGGAAAGTGATCCTTATCCAGCAAGGATTGGGTTACAATGTTCCTGCTGAGTCTGCAGAAGGGTGTGAAGAAGCTGTGGTCTACGCAGAAGTGCAAACAAAACTGACAACAAGCTGCTTTACATAAAGGGCTGTTGGAGGATGGAACAAGCATTAATGAGAGCCTGGAATCAATTAGCTACTTATTACTAGTCATGGGCCTCTAGACTCTTCCAGTCCCTGTGGAGTCCAGGACACTGACCCAGCCCAGTCACAGGGCTCTAGACTCTTCCAGTCCCTGTGGAGTCCAGGAGACTGACCCAGCCCAGTCACGGGGCTCTAGACTCGTCTAGTCCTGAGTGTGACTAGTCACAGCGTGACTGTGTTGTGCGGGTTCTCTCCTGCTGTCCCTTCAGGAGGTGCTACAGGAAGATTGCCTCATAAAAACCACAATTTCACATGGCTTTGATAAGACTGAATCTAATTTCATGGCTGGAGAAAAGTTGTCAATGAGACGGTTGTTCAGAAAACACCCCCAAGCGCTTTCCTCCTTGCTGCCTATCAGCTGATTCATCATCTTCAGCACAACCACTGATGTCACTGCGCCCAGATAAATATCACAACAGGCAAAGGAAATAACCGTCACGTTGTGAGCTTGCAGGGCGGTGAGCCACAGTCAAATACGGGCTTGTCCCGGCCGATCACGTCTTCTCTCAGGCCAATGTTAAAAAATCCTTCAGCTTTCCCCAGGAAACACTGGTATTTGGACTGGACTGGACAATGGACAGAATCCAGTTCATGTGATTGCACACCGGGGCACCCGCCTGGGGTGTTTGGTCATTTCCCCATCATGGTTTTGATCTCTGGTGCTCTTTATCTGTCTGGACAGGGTAGGATGGGTCATGTCACTGGTATCGCATGACGCACAGATACCAGAGACATTCTGACTGAAGATTCTGTAACATGAGTGAGGGAGAGACAGGAGAGAGGACAGATCCAGAGACAGGGGGCCGGGAGCCGGGGGGGCCAGTGAGGAGCAGGTGTGTGAGTGTGGGGGGGTCTTGCCTTGCGGTGCAGGAGCTGGGACTGGGGTCCCCCGTTGCCCTCGATCTCGTAGCGGACCTTGTTGAAGAGCGCCACGGCGTACTGCTGCTCGTACAGCCGCCCAAACTCCCCCATCACCTCGCCGGTCCGCGCTGCGAAGGAAGCACAAACACGCACAGTCACGCGCCGGCGAAACGGCGACCTGGGTCCCACGTCTCCTTCCCTCGTTCTGAGCAAGTTTGCATAAGCAAAACCGCAGGGTTGAAATGCGAAATATATATTTGCCTTTCGACTTCACTGGAAGAGTTGGCGCCGGAGCCCGCAGGCAGTAACACCTGAAAAGCCTCCGACGGCCGTGCGGGCAGGAAACGGAGACTCACGCCACCAGGGTCCACTGGAACACTGCAGGCTGGACCTGCAGCTCCACCCCCCAGCCAGGTAACTTCACTTGCCCTTTCACATCAGCAGCTTCCTTTCCCCAGTATGATCATCAGAACAACCCAGCTCAGAGTGCACACCCCCCGTTGTGGCCGGGATCCCGACTGATCCCACCGGCCGCAAACCAGATCCCGACAGATCCCAGCCGTGCCGGTGCTGGGTCAGTGCCCGTTGGACAGCCACCAGAGGCTGATGAGTGAGGGGTGAGAGAGAGACGAATACTGTCAAGCCTACAGAACAGTAAATGCCTCTTTGCCACTAAAAACTTATTTTGACATTTTTCAGATTCCCTCTCTCCAGCTGTTTGGCATTAAAAGCAGAGCCAGCTATTTACCCAGAAATGGAAATCCAGTTCGTTATGACGCACACTTGCCAGCGCCTCTGCAAAGCACAAGTGTTTTAAGCAGCTCCGTCCCGACAGTCAGATACAGGTAAGGCACAACACGAAACACAAAAGCGAGCCAGCACAAACACTACAGGTCAAGGGTGGGGTACCGACATCGCCGAGCAACCTCATTAGGGCCCTGGTCCCAGCCCGTGGAACCTCGCGCTCTGAAAGCGCCACTGTTATCCTCCGAGAGGACGAGAAGCGTTGTCAGGCTGCCAAAAAGGTCAGCTGCATCCTGCACCTCGAGCAGCGAGAGCGATTGCACAACAAAACGCGAACGGTTTCATTGTTCGGTTTCGGATTCCTTGAATGGTTGGAAGGCCAGCCGGGCTGGAAGGAGAGAGAAAGTTAGTTTGTGGTTTAACCCTGTGTTTCCTGGTTTTCCAGTCCTCCCCTCTTCGTTTCCAGAACCGCCCCCCCCCCCCATTTTGAAGGGCAGGCAGAGCACCTCAAAACCCCCCGGAGGCAGCCACCCCCCCGTGGAAGCACGCTATCTCCTCCGCAGGTGTGACAGGAACGAGATAGAAGACCCAGCAAGGCAGGAAGGGCTGTGGAGGTGAAGCCCTATCTCTGTTTGCACAGGGCCTCCGCTCTGTATCTTAAACCAACATCCTGCCCCCAGGCAGGCTGGCGGCTTGTGTGCAAGCCAGCCTCATGCCCCCATGCCCCTACACACACTCACACACACACTAGGGTGTAAAATCCCTGCGGGCACTTCCACAGTGTCTGACGGGTCAGTCAGAGACTCACACTGATGGGGGCAGACGAGACAGGTGTCGATTAGCCATAACACAGGTAGAGCCAGCAGCCCTATCGCCCTGCAGCTCCCAGCTGGCAGCCCCTCTGGAGCTCAGCAGGTGTGAGCCTGGTCAGTACCTGGATGGGAGACCTCCTGGGAAAGCTGAGGCTGCTGCTGGAAGAGGTGTTAGTGGGGCCAGCAGGGGGCGCTCACCCTGCGGTCTATGTGGGTTCTAATTGCCCAGTGTAGTAACGGGGACACTGTACTGTAAGAAGGCACCGTCCTTTTGGATGAGACATAAAACTGAGGTCCTGAGTCTCCGTGGTCATTAAAAATCCCAGGGTGTGTTTCTCGAAAGGAGTAGGGGTGCTAACCCGGCGTCCTGGTCAAATTCTTCCTGCCTTTTCCCCCCAATCATGGCCTCCTAATAATCCCCATCTCTGAACTGGCTTCATCATGCTGTTCTCCTCCTCACTGAGAGCTGGTGTGTGGGGAGTGTACTGTAAAGCGCTTTGAGTGGAGAGTCCAGAACAGCGCCTTATAAGTGTAAGGAATCATTACAATAAATTCATTACGCTGACTCACACGTGTACCCCTTCGGTTTCCTAAAACACGCACGACATCTCCGGTGAAGCTCAATCTATTTTTTTTTTATTGGAGCAAGATTAAACATGAGGGAAGTGAGGATATCAACCGCTTCTTAGTGTTAAGCTGCTGACTGGATGGAACATTGGGAAATCTGGAAACTGCCCATACCCCTGTTCCTGCTCAACATCCCCCCCCCCCCAGAGGTCACACGGAGCCGAGTCATGGCCCAGCTGTGTCACAGTCTGCCACGCTGCCCTGACTCAGCGCTGCTCTGCGCTTCTTGTGGCTTTTTTGCTTCTTTAAATCCTAGATCACAGGCCCCTGGCAGCAGCTCAGTGAGCAGGGTTACTGCTGCACAACTGATCAGGCCCGTTTTCCTGCCATTCATAAAGCTTCCTGGATGCAGATCTAATTTTCACCCTGATAGCTGGGTCACTTAACCCCTTCTAGGAAAAGATAAGAGCCCAATACAGCAAACGATCACTTTTAATGGGCAAAATGAGCTGTAAAGTACTGTCTTTTTATTCTTTGGGTATCCAGATCCCCCCCAAGGATCATGAATAAAACTGCAGGACAGCAGGGTGTGCATTTGTTGAAAGTGTGAATGCAGTACAGGTGTATTGTTCAAAATTATTTTTCATACTGTATACAGAGTAGACAATACACTACTACATATTATATACAGTCATTCTAAAACATTCAGCAAGCATATCTACAGTATATAGAATGACTCCTCATATACGAGTATCTCACTGGTGAATCAACAGACAGCTGGTGATCAGACACCCTTTCCCCCCACTGGTCCAGCTCCCTGTACTTCACTCCCACTCTTCCTCCCCTCTGCATTCCTTCTCCACCCCCCCCCCCTCCCGTCTTTGTCCTGATTTCCAGGTTTTGTTTTCTCATCAGTGCTAATGGCTCCTGCTTTCCCAGGCGCATTCCAGAGAAACCCCTTCCCATCCCCGAGCCCCAGTTGGCCAGCGAGACTGCGCGCGGGTTTCGGTTCATTTACGCGTTGCGCTAGATCCTTTAAAGACTATTTATAACTCTTACTGGAAGAAGTAAAAAGGCATTCCTGCAACCCAATAATTCAACACTGCTGTTGCCTGCAAGACGCGTCTAATTGTAAAGGCGTTGCCCTTGCAGTGTTGATGTTGTTCAAAACCAGCTCTTGCCGAGCTTCGCACACAAACGATCTTCCTGTAGGCACACCTGCGTGGTCGTCACTGTAACCCAGGCTGAAGCGCCAG